TCTGGATGTATATATCAACATGTAGGGTGAGATGTATGAGACAGACATCTTTCTGTTTCGTGCATCTTGTAGTGAGTCATCTGTCAGGGCACGTCGTCGTCTGACTCGATCTGCAAAGTGTCAAAGATCGGTCGTTTATGATAGAATATGTTTTGATTTGACATCTGTCTGCAAGTCTGACTACACTATTCTAGACAGCTCCAGGGAGATTACACTGATGTGTGCGATTGTGGGGGAGGTGGGAAGCGTGTTTGGTGTGAAGATAGACGACGGTGAGCAGTGTGGAAGGCGAAGGAGTCATCGCAGACAAGCTGAGTACACGGGGCGACCTGACAAACGGCAGCTCTACCTGGCGACTAACACATTTGACGCGCTGGAAGGTGTGAGGGACACTAATGACTGCACACATCTACAGTTCGTCGATGCGAAGCTTCGAGCCGTTGGGCTGGCTAGTCGTAAAGTGGGCGTAGTGACCGAAGAAGAAGCGGCCGTTGGAAAGGGTCATGTGCACGTGCTGGTTCTGGTTCCTCCCCCGAATGTCGGGTTAAAGCGTCCAGCAAATGATGAATTTGATGAATTCGTGAAGAGATTGAGATCAGTGGAATCCGAATTGGCAGCCTATAGGCCTAAGACATTGAACCACTTCGAGAAGTTGTCTGTGCATCCAGACGAGTTCCAACTCGACAGTTTGTCAATGATCCAACAGAGTGACAACCCAATTGTCGAGACGCCTACGTTGCACGAATTTTGGAAGGATTTCGGCGAGTTCCCTCCGTACTATTTCGTTCGGAAGGAAGAAGTGGTGTTTTGGAAGGTGATTAAAAAGCTAAAGTTGACCATAAAACAAAGAAGGATTGTGATTGTAGGCTCACAGGGCGTCGGAAAGTCCTGCTTCCTCATGCTTATTGCGTTTTACTTGGCGTGTAAGGAGAAAAGACAGGTGCTTGTAATTCGTTGCCTGAACGAAACCGACTGTGTGAACGCGGTGGTCTATTTGAATGGAGACGGAAAATACGCACGACTAACGAATCTCGCACCGAAAAATATCAACGCCATCCGGCGCCAAGTTGAAGGAGCATTTGTTCTCGTTGATGGTTACGATCAAAAAGACGGGAAAATGGACGACGAACTCGAGCCTTTTCATTTTCTTGCAACATCGTGCCAGTACGATGCGAAACATGACGACAGCGCACGTGTTGTGGTTTTACCCGCGTGGCGCCAAGCTGACCTGCTGACATTCGCGCAACAAACCAACTGGGTGATCGATACTGGTTTACGTGAGGTCATGCTTTTGCTGAAGGACAAAACTTTTTCAGAACTCGCTGGAGAGCAGTACTACTATAGTGGTGGGAGTCTACGTGAGTTTTGTAAGACGCGTGATGAACTTCAATCCCAAGTCGTAGATGATTGTGCAGCAGTAGAGAATGACCAAGCATTCCAACTGATATACAATTATGGCGGTGATAAAGCCAAAAGCCAAATGGACCGACTTCGGCGTCACTGCATTGACGACTGCACCAACGAAGAGCACTATATGCGACGTATTCACTGGGGACTTACTGTCGATTCAGGGTATGCGCTGAGACGTTTGGGGGAGGAACATAAGCATGGGACAAAGCGCCTGAAGGACCTACACGCATGCCAGATCTATTTGAGGCCCGCTTTCCATGGATTTCGCATTATTAACAGTTGCCTTCAACAGTGCAGGATCAATATCTCCAAGCCCGCTGGTTTTTGAAGATGTCTGGAGGGGTCGGTATTACGAATAAAATCGAGATTCC